TAAAATCGGCTTTATTTTGTGGATTCCGCTTACAAAGTTTGCAGATTCCACTTGCATTTGCTGATTCGACTTATATTTTGTGGAATCTACTTACAGTTGCGGAATCCAGAACAGCTAACTATATTCGCTCGTTGCTAAGCTTCCAAATTCGCTTGATGCTAAGCTTCCTAAATTTTTGTTGTTAAGCTTCCAAAATCAGTGTTTGGGATTGACGCAATCCCAAATACTGACGTAGATGGGCGATATGCTGTGTTGCATTTCCATACACTCTCAACCCAATGATTCCAAAAATTGAGCTTAATTGGTGTTTTGTTTCCAAAATATTAAAAGGTGACATCCACCGATTTAGTTAACAAATGTTTCGAGATTTCTTCGTGGCTTCCGCTGACAATGGTTAAGTGCTTGCCTTTGAATTCCGCATTGCTATAGATAAGAATTCCAGCTGTAGTTTTCAATTGTTCATATGCAAGTTCAGTAATAAACAAAATTCTAAATCCACTTACAGTTTGCGAAATCCGCTTACAATTGCGGATTCCGCTTACAAAATTTGCGGATTCCACTTACATTTGCGGATTCCACTTATATTTTGCGGAATCCAATTACAGTTGCGGAATCCAGAGCATCTAGCTATATTCGCTTGTTGCAGAGTCCGCGGCCCAAAAAATGTGCCGACAAAATTTACGTTACATGTATTTGTACGCGGAATCCATGAAAGCTTTCTAAGTGGAATCCACTTACATTTTGGAACATGTTTAAAGATTTGTCTATGGAATCTAGGAACATACATCCAGGAATCCAAAATTGTGCGCATATCCAGTGCACAGTTTGGCCTCATAATGAGACTATAATCTATCATAATCCATTATAATGGATTTTAAATGGCTTATAATTGATTTAATTTCCCGAAAAAGAATGGATTATAATGGAATATAACCGATTTTTGTGGTCAAAAAAGTTGCCATTATAAACGATTATAACTATACCTTGGGACCACGCAATCGATTTTAGTTCATTGTAATATCATAATCCATTATTTTTCAAGAAGTTGAAACGGTTTTAGTCCATTTAAAAACCAATGGAGTATAATCTCAAATTTTCGGCATTACTCACAGTTTTTTCGATTTATTTCTAAGCCCACTCACAATTAGTTAACTTCTGCGTTCTTCTCAAACTTAACATCCAAGATGAACACACCCAAATTTGAACTCATTACCCCACATTAAGCATTGACCAAAAAACGGCAATTTTCACCCATTTTTTTTCTTGAAAATTTGCCTGAGGCGCAGACAATTTTGTCAACTTATAGTCTTTTTCGACTTATAAAATGTTTTTTAAAATAACGCCCCTCCCCTCTAGAAAATTCTAGATCCGCCTCTTTATAAATAGTTTCGAGATGCAATGTGTCCTGTTGCTGGTCTATTATAAAACCTAAATGGAAAAACTGAACGAAATACACAGATTTGAAAAATTTTTGCTTTGAAAGGTTTTCACGTAATTTTTTAAGAGTTTGTTGTGGTTGATTGTTTTCTAGAAAAAATCTTGCACTAGTTTTTTCAAATATTGCACTAGTTATTCAATATTTGCACAAGTTTGAATTACTAAATGCAACAAAAAATGCGAAGAACTTACCGACAGCTATTTAATGAATTAACTACCTTAGTAAATAAACCAAGTTTGATTATAAATAATCAACTGCTTCTCCACAAAAATTTTTTTTTTCAACTGACGTCCTAAAATGGAACTCATTGCCAATGAAATTACGGAATCATGACAACATCACTGCATCGTTCAAGAAAAAAGAAGAGTTTTACTCTACTGAAATACAAACTAAATGCAATATGTAACCATATTAAAACATGGTGTTCTGTTTTTGTTTATAGACTTTTATATATGTAATTTTAAAGTAATTTTACTGGTCTTCATTTTTCAAGCTGATTAGATATTTGATGATACTTTTGAAGTAAAATTTCGTTGCATTTAGTGAAATTTCAACCTAATTTTGACCAATAATATTTTGACCAATTTTGAATCAACAATTTATCTGAATTTTGAACTAGTATATTTTAAACACTTCAAAATTGTTCTTTACTCCAGTTCCTAGTCTTAAAAAATTTTTCTTTTTCAGCACTGACTCGGAGATTTTTTTCTGATAATAATCAAAATTTTCGCCAAAAAAGGAAGTTTTTACACGAAAAAATGAATTACCGCAGAAAGAGTGAAACTTGTTTTTGGTGAAAATCATCATTTGAGTTTGCTTTCAGCTAATATACCTCGAGACAGCTAGACAAGATCTTTGTTGCTATCTCAGAATACCAGTTGCTCCCATTATCGGTACCATTCAGCCCTATTTGGTCTTAATAATGAAACCCTTAAACCACTTTGATTTAAGATTGAGACGCCAATTTCTGAACTTAACTGAACTAATTTATATTTTGCATTTAACATGTCTGAAGTTAATTCAAGTTCGTTATTCGTATCAGTGTCTACTAAGTACTTTTAGATTACTTCCTTCACTGGAAAGGTCGTATTTCGTATTCATTTTTTTATGACGCATTTCTAATTGCACCGAAACATCAGTTAAATCAAGGAGGGAGTCACGTTAACTATTTTTATCCTTCAAAAGTTTCCACAGAAATTGCTTCCCAATTACCAGCCGTAAATTGACTATTTTCAATTGACTAATCATTTTTCTCAATAAACCTTCTCCGAACAAGTGAGTAGTTAAAACTTCCTCAGTAACTTCCTTAGTAAAGACTTTTTCCAATATTTTTTCAAAAACTTTTTATGATTTTATTATCACCTATTGCCCTAAACGTATACATATCCGAATTCAAGTTTTTTTAGATTGTTAAAATCCAGGTAAACTTACTGTCAAATTGTACTAGCTTAACCATCAATTTAATTTTTTTAGTTCAGTTTTTAAAGTCTAAAGTTTTCTGTTTTTCTGTTCAATTTTGATTTTTCTGCAAAGTGGGAGAAATAAAGAAAAATGTTTCTTGAAGTGCTCTACAGAAAATGTGTCTTTTCTTTTGCTTAAAAAATATCTGAAAAACTCGTTTTTTATAAGAAACAAATTTCGCACAGCTTTTAAGCCAACAAAGGTTTCTTTTTAATTCAAATTTTTCAAAGCTTTCGAATAGAGTATGCCAACAAAAAGTCGTTTTTTTTGTGCATTAAATAAAAAAATCCGCCAGATTAATAGTGCAAACCTTTAAAAATCCGTCAAATGTTCAAAAATAGTATCGAAAACCGGCTAAAAGTTGTCTTTTGGGAACACCAAAACGCATTGCAGCCCAATCACTGTTGGATCTCTTTAACGATTCCTCCCTTTTGTGAAAAGGAGGAGATTCGTTACTAGGTACAAAAATTACATGTACTTAACCATGACTTTCTTTAAAGGGGTGAAAATTCGTCTTTACTAGGTAACCTAGGGGAAGTGGGATCCCCTGTCTTCGCCTCTCCAAAAATTACTGATCTATATGCCCGGGTTGACCCATAGACCAAAAAAGCTAGCCATAGAATTCCATAATTTTCATAAATTAATTCTAAGAAAAAATAGTAATCATGCAAATTTCATACATTTTGCTAAATTGGTGTCACCGAAATTTCGAAGAATTTTTTTTTCTTGTTTTGGCATAAAATTCGGTGTATTGTACCAAAAAAAGAAAGTTTTTTTTTGTCAAAAAGTGCTAATCATACAATTTCCTTATTGGAAAAAGTATGTTTAGCACTTTTATGATGGCGGCAACAAAAAATTTTTCCAAGTAATTTTGAAATTGCATGCAAAACTTAAAAAAATTTTTGTGTGCATAAAGTAGTCCTGGATACACTAATATTAGATTTTTTCCCTTTTTGCTTTTTAAGTTTTTCAAAAACGCTAAAAACTCCTATTTTGTTTTGTATGGCAAGTTTATGCATGCCTTGATCAATGTCTGGTAGTTAAAAAATTGAAATTTTGAAAGTAATCACTGTTGACAATTTTTTCTTCATGTTAATTGTATAAAACAGAATTAATCCATTTCCAATGCGTTTTTAATGCAAGACGGGCAAGCCTTTAGTTAGTCTACTTTGAGTAACCAAGGTAATTTCACTTGTGTTCGGTTACGAATACAATCAAAAAAATTTGATAAATTAAAATGAAAAAAAAAATCATTTTTTTGGTGGATCTACTTAACAGTCCCCCTCCCACTGTATCTACTAAAAAATCTCCGCCTCTGTAAATAAAAACAGTAAAATTGCACTAGAGCGTTGTATGTAAATTCGAGTCTTGCTGCATCCTGATTGGTCGAAAATCCGCTGCAAGTAATCTACTTAACAACCTCCCGCCCCCCTTTCTTGAATGAGGGGGGAGATTGTTAAGTAGATCCTTTTTGGTTCATGGAAAAATGCTAGTCATACAATTTCCAGATAAGAAAAATCACTAATCATAGATCTTTCATGCAATTTTCTGTTTTTATGGAATTGCATGAAAAGTGTATGATTAACATTTTTCCATATAGGAAAACTGTACGATTAGCACTTTTGGTCAAACTTTTTCAAAACTTTGATCTGAAATAGTGGACTTGAAACTTTTGCATTGTGAGAAAAAATAGCAATGAATTTGAACTTATTTTGTTCAGAAAGGTCTGGAAATCGTAAATCGAACTGAGACCCATTGAGTTAAGATGCCAAGTCTGACTTTTTTATACTAACTGGCAATAATTGATGCTATTTTTAAAATACTTCGGTCTGTCGACCAAAAAAGTTCATTGAGTTCAGCACAAAATCGAATTAAGGCTGAATTAGAAATTCCAGAATGGCAAAGTTTATGAAGTCTGTTTGTCTCAAGTTTATCGCCACGTGATTTTCAGCGAAAATTTCCATGGTTTCATGTGGTTTTCAAGGAGCTAATAAAAATTAATTATAGTAACATCTTTTGGATTCAAATAACAACATATATTTGGAATTTAACTTATTAATATTAGGCTTTTATTATTTATTAATGACATTTATTACTCCCTTTGCATTCGGTAACTTTAAAGCGCTCAAAACGTCAACTTTCATTTCAGAAGAACAAAGAATAATAATTATTCAGTCTTACACGATTGCACAATAGTATTCTGTTGACTGCTTTTACCGACAAAAAGGTACGAATTTAAAAGTCTTTTCAGTTTGCTGAGGTAAAAGTCTTTTCAGTTTGCTGAAGCGTCCGGAGACCCCTCCCCCCTAAATCCGCCCCTGTTTGGCACGGTTGGTTTAACGTGCGTGAATTTTGTGTGTGTCGATCATCTGGTGGTAAGCCAACAAGCCGAAGGGCCAGCAGACCGAAAATGAGATTACCATTCCAACAAGCCGAAAATATATATTTTCATGCAACATAGCCACAGATTTTTTACTGTTGGTATGCAATTGTTACTTAATTCTGATGTAATTTATGTAATTCTGATGTAATTTAGGCTTCAAAATTTGACGGTTTGAAGATGTGATGGCCTGTTGAATATCTGCTGGCTAATCTAGATTGTTTTGTTTAATCATTAAAGAGATAAATTGAATTTGATGAAATTCAAATTCCAAGAGATAAATTGATGTGGCGAAAAAAAGACTGTTTCCCTAAGGTCTGCGAGTTGTCTGGTTTTGCGAGTTGTTTTTTGTTGCGAGTTATCAAATTAAGTTTTTGCAATTGGGCGATAATTTTCAGGATTCAAAGCGACAAAGCAACTTGTTTTTTGTTGCGAGTTGTGTCGTATTAACCGGGCGGATTTAGGGGGGGGGGGGGGCGACCTCATTGCACTATTTTGAGATATCCTTCGGAGCCAATATATACTAAATTTGAGGGACGAGCGCGAGCCTAAAAAACGCGATTTTTGATCAGCATTTTTCAGACGGAAAATTTGGCTAAAACAGGGTCTTTTAGTGCTTTGGGAGAGCTCGGAAAATCAATTTGTCGACCAAACAAAAAGGGCGACAAGCCGCCCCCCTCTCTCGAGAAAATGCTAGATCCACCCCTGGTATTAACTATTTCAAAATCACCAAAATTATTCTTGCATTTTACTATAGTTTTCGGCATTCAACAAAGCGGACAATGCAGATTTAAGAGAAAATTTTGCGGAATGTCATATATTTTGTTCATATATTTTTCATATATATATTCATGGTCAAATTTTTAGAAAGAATTCTTTTTGTTAGGGTTAAAATCTTAAACTCTTTTTGGGATACAACCTAAAAAATGGAACGTGGTATGATATGATATGAGGGTGCCGGACATCAAGCCGACGGGACTTCAAGCCGAATTGTAAAATTAGGGACTTCAAGCCGAATAATTCCTTATAAAGTCGTGAAATATGAACAATTTGAAAAATTTTTTGAAGAATTTCTGAATTTCATTATCTTTATTCACTAGTTATTGGCGTTTGCATATAATTTAAGCCTCCAAATGATGTTCCGGAAAGTTGAAAAGTAAAACATGGTTGAAGGCATTTTTCATGTTTATAATTTATGCATTTCAAAAACCGGCTGATGTTATTAACGGATGCGAATCACAAGTGGTGCATTGTCATGAATAACGCTTACTATGGACTAAACTTGCCAAAATTTTAGAAAAGCAACATTTTGCAGATGATAAAATAGCATTTTGGGGTGCTTGTAAAGTTTTAATTTCGGCTTGAAGTCCCTTCGGCTTGAAGTCCCGTCGGCTTGTTGTCCTAGACCCATGATATGATATGATTTGATATGATATGATATGATATGGTATGATATGATATGATATGATATGACATGATATGATATGATAACGAAAAGTTATAATGTCTAGGTTATAGCCAGCTATATTTAGGCATCAAAAACAGACGAGTCAACTATTGATATACACTACAATGGCGCTATCTAAATCTCTCTTCGATGCATCAGTCAAGAGGTGTCCTGTCAAAGCAGTGCCCAACCTCCTCTCCCCCTTCCCCTCCCAGTCTCAGCAGTGCCCCCTTCGCCAAGATGATCCCAACCCTGCCAGCGGTATCAGCAGCAGCAGTAATAACATGAACACAAACAGTCCTCTCATCAAATCTCCTCGAAGAATGGGACCCTTCGGCCACTTTCATCTTGTGCTTAAGGTTTGAAAAATTTAAATTTTTTTCACCGATATATTTTTCACAAGCCCTCATTTTGCAAAAAAAAACTCGTTATCAAATACCAATTCCAGGCATGCTTAACTACTGGTTCTGTATTCCGTGATTACAGTTCAATACAACTTTCTCTGGAGTTTAATTAATCATAAATTAACAAAATAATATTTAATAAATAATTTAATTAGCAAAGAGAATGTTTTTGAATCCCCTTAACATCATGGGTACAAATATAGCCGCGATATTTATTTGCCGAAAACACATCAAAATATAATATTTTGTATAAATCATTTTCTGGCAGTCAAATACATATTAACTCATTATTGTCTTAAGAAAACAAAAAAACTATTGGACAAAAATATGATCAAACACTGCCTGTCAAAAGCATCAATGAATCTAAAAGGTCCGTTTTCAAGTGTCGGTTACACTAAATACACTCGAAAGAACTCTTCTATTGATCGGGAGGGTAATTTTTTGCTGGAATTTTCTGGAAATGCGTTGAAATGATTTCAGCCTAACTCATTCCGCGATGCATTGCAAAACATGGGAGCACTTTACGACGAGCTGGGTACAAATACGGTGGCAATTCAACCCCTTCCTTCCTTCTTGACTAGATTCATACCAGAAGCAAACAATATAATCTACACCAAAGACGAAAACTTGATTAAACACATTTTGAAAAATGAAGACAAATACCCAAGAAGAGCGGGCTACCTTAACGACAACATTCAGGCAATACAGTCAGATTTAGGTGAGGCAAATTACAATTTCTCTTTTCTTTCAAATTCCTATAATTTTACAATTCTCTAGTGTGTGTATGTGTGTGGTGTAACTATATATACTTGTGCCAAAATGGTTTGAATCCCAATATTCATAGCACTTTAGTTTTCCAAAAAAAAATTCGCAGGTGAAAGATTTGTTCGTTTCGAGCACAAAAAAAACATCAACAGAAGATTTCAGATGAAATTTTCCCGTGCATTTTAAAAAGCTCCAATCAAAATGCAAGATTGAAAAGGAAACTGAAATTTGTCTGAAGCAAAAGTTATGATTGAAGCAAAACTTAGGTTTTTCCGATTTCGAAAGAAGAGAAGAGACATTTTTTGCTTTGAGCTTAAATCGAACAAGATATTTTAAGTGTGATCTTTTTTTTCTAAAATTTGCCTTAAAAACTTCCAGCTTAGCCAATTCGAGATTTTTAACGCCAGTTTAGCCAACTTGCGATTTTTAAACCGCTTAAAAAGTTTCGTTTTTCAACGCAACTAGGCGGCGATTCAATCCTGCTGAGAAATATGGTCACCAGCAAATAAGAAGACAGCCGTCAAGAGGACAATTTTTCTTAACGGGACTTAAGACGACACTACACATTGTATTTCTGATAAACTTTAACCGCCTAAATTCGAACTGTTCATTTTACATTAATAACGCTTATTTGTCTTAATGTCTTGTCGTCTCAATGGTCTGTCGTTTTGTTTACCTAGCACCCAGAAATACAATTCCAAATTCACTTGAGGGTCTTTTAATTGGGCCTTTTTGTTCCGAATTCGTGGAGATATGAAATACATAATTGTTTCAACCGGTATCCTTCGAGTATTTTAAAATTGGTATCTTTTAATGATAAATTTTTTCAAACTTTGTATCAAATAATTTTTGCGTCGCAAATCTGACAAAGTTCGAAACTCGTTTGTCTGCTTATTTTTCATTTGGTTAATTTAGATTTTAATAGCCTTGATTTCATTGCTTACCTTGAAGTTTACGGTTTCTTAGAAATGTTTGAATACTCAATTTTAATTAACTGAGTTTAGTTTTCATCAATTGTTTTTCCTCGGTCTCTCCAACAAAAAGACGCCAATTTTGTAAACCAATTTGCTCTTGTTAATTTGTTACCAGATACAAAAAAAAATATTTTGTTTACGCCGTAGCGTCTGGGGGGATAAAATAAACAAAACAGAACAATCAACCAAAAGGTTTGCATTGTTTAAATTATTTATTAAAGTTGAACAAAAAATGTTCCATGGTAACAGGCAGTCAGAAGATTCAACGCTACGCTGTTTTGTTCATACGTTAGTAGACGCTAATTATATGAATCAGAATGAACTTTAAATATCGTGTGGGTGTAGATCTAAAGGCCATCTGAACACTCAGGGCTTTAAACTGATGCAAGCAGTCTAGTTAGCTTGTTAATGGCGTTCTCAACCATTTTTGGATGTTTATTCTGCCTGTGCCTATAAGAATGTTTTTGAAATTATATCTACGAGCAGTGTTGCCTAATTTTAGAACTCCAGAGCGTGCATGAGAGCTTCATAAACCAGTTGTTTCGCGAACACGGAAACTAAAAAAAAAACTTTATGTCTAAGAAGTATGTAAACTTCAATATACAGCAAAATTAACCTTTCCTTGATGTTCAGTTTTATCAACATTTTCTGTTTTTTTTTGTCAAAAATAATTCTACCTAATGACAAAAGGTGCAGTTTGATGTCAGTTGACTGCTTGTTTATATGCTGATTCGACAAATTTATCAAAAAGTCATCAAATCAATCCTTTTTTGATTCCGTTTTTGATTAAAACTGCGGTTTCTGTCTGATATTAGGCTTTATACTGAGTTTTTAAGTAACTTGATGCAGTTTCAGAAATTGTTATGGGTTCTTTTTCACTTGTATTTAAATTGAAAAAAGTTTAACTTTTAAATAAAAAAAAACAAGTTTCGTGCTAATGATCGTCGTCTGAAGAATCGTTAAACGCTCGTTCATTGAAAACATAAAGCCAATCAATGACGTCAGCCAACCAATGACGTAAGTGTTTGGCAAATTTTTACTCCTAATCTTCATACTTTATTGCTTAAATGTCTTCATCTATCCAAAATTTGTTTTAATGAGATATAAGCTTTTTTTAATGATACATGTTCTTTCATGTTTGTTTTTGTTATCAACCCCTTTCGCAGTTTTTTTAAGTTCTCATTAGTTTTTCCCCAAAAAAATGTTTTAAAGCTCCAAAATAGTTTATTCACTGATTTTTTTGTTTTTTTTTGATGCTGTTTAGGCATAAGAACTGATTGATGAACAAAATATTTTATTCACGGGTTTATTGGAATGAAAAAGTTTATTCACTGATTTATTAGTTGTTTGATGCTTTTTAAGCATAGGAACAGATAAAGGAACGAAAAAAGTTTATTCACAGTTTTTATTGTACGTAACGAAAGTAACTCTTCCCATTTCGTAATGAAAGTAACGGAATATTTGTGCTCCGGTTGGTTTTTCATCGGACAAATGTCGAAATTAAATAAGACAAATGTCGAAAACGTTTTTAAATAAAAATTTTTGACGAATTTTTTTTTAATTGCCTGAAAAGTATTGTTGTCCTAAGCTCAAATAAAAAAAAACTTTTTACCAGTGATAAGGTAAAAAAAATTACGAGGGTTTAAAGATTGCCATTATGGCCAATTTGGGACAATTAACGCGCGAGCGGCAATTTAATCCCTCAAAAATGTTTTTCCAAATTGGTTGAAGCCGGCTATTTGTCATAGCTCCTTCGTCTAGAGCAAAAACGGTCACTTTGTAATTAATATGGCGAGTGGAAGGATGATTTTAAAAAAAGCTCAACAATTTTGTATATATTTTCTTCATTTTTTTGAAAAAAATTTTCAACTTTCTTAAAGCAAACACGGCTTCATAGACATCGGAAGTTAGACGGAACATTCAGGGTTTTCCCCTGATACGAGCAGTCTTGTTTGTTGTTATGTGATGCTGTTAAGGAACAGGAACAGATTAAGGCACAAAATAGTTTATTCATGGATTTATTGAAACGAAAAAATTATTCACTGATTTATTACTTCCTTTTTTAGTTGTTTTGTGATGTTGTTTAGGCATAGGAACAGATTAAGGAACAAAAACTTCGTTTGTTACTTCGTTTGTTACTGTTAAGGAAAGGTCTTCGTTTGTTACTTTTTTCAAAAAAAAAAATGTTTTAAGGCTCCAAAATAGTTCATTCGCGGATTTAGTGGAACAAAAAAGTTCATTCACTGATTTTTTGTTCCGACTTTTGAAGAAAATGCGGAATATTTAAGCTTGGTATGGTTTTTTTATCATAGTCCATTCTTTCAAATTCAATTTTGAAATTTTTTTTCAAACGTTGTCATAATGCAATGAAATTTGGCGCAGTAAACAAATCGACAACTGTGAACAGATTTGTTCTTCAAACTTTACAGCGTAACATCACTCATTTAGCCGTAATAACACGTAAAACAAACATAAAACTCGGTATTTTGAAAAGGGGAAACTGGAAAAGCGCCCGGATTTTTTTATACCATCTGAGAAATATTGTGATTTTCAAAGCTCAAATTTAAAGAAAAAATACAGTTGTAATCATTTTTCGTAAGTTTCGGGGCTTGAAAACTGCAAGGTAGAACATTTTGGGATAATTGAGGTGCAATATAATGCGTATTTAAAACACGCGTAAGAAGCGAATTAATGCGTTCCGAATTGAATTGAGGCCAGCATTTCAAACCTGTTATCACAATTCGAGATGCTAAACACACCCTTAGTACTTTACATAGCAAGTGGGGATATAGAAGGAAGAAAAAACGAAGAAAAAAAATATTTCGCCGTAAGTGCAGTCAAAACATTCAGGGCTTCGCCCTGGTATACGGGCAGTCTTGCTAGTTGTTGTTTGATTCCTTTTAGGTATAGAAACATATGAAGGAACAAAAACAGTTTACTAGATTACGGATTTACTAGACTGAAAATGTTTGCTTACTGATTTATTAGTTGTTTTGTGATGTTTTTTAGGCATAGGAACAGATCTGTTCAGCACAGATGGGCCAGAGTGGCATGCACACCGGAAACTGGTGCAGAAACACCTGTTGAGTCCAGAAGAGGTCAAACAATTCACACACACTGTCACTCAAGTGGCCCGAGACTACGTTCAACTCATACATCAAATCACGTAAGTGCACTTAGCGGAGAACCAGTAGTGGATTTAGTGGGAGAGTTCCTATTTTTGTTCCTGGATGTGATCCTACGCCCCCTTCCTCAGGGATTTGGCCCCCTGTTGACCCAAAGGGTCCCCCCTTTGTACTATTTTGGGATATCCATTTTTGGCTGACAAACCCAAAAATTTTTCTAAAGGCAAATATTTACTAATTTTGAAGTGGAAGAACGCGCAAAAAGCCTTGCAAAAAGTGCCTAAAAACACCTTTTTTTGGCTCGTTTTAAATATTTGATCACAACAGGGTCTTTTTAGTGCCTTTTGGGAGATTTGGGAGAGCTCGGAAACTTAATTTACTCAATTAAAGGTGCCAGCGGTAGAAAAATTTTTGGCTAATTTTTTCATGTCGCGGCTAATTTTTCACGAATAATTTCCAGATAATTGAGACCGAGATACGATTTTTCCAGACTTTGTACGCGAATATAAATCCCTGTCCAGGCTAAGGATCAACACTGAAGTTTTAAGCGCAGAGATTATCGAAGCGCAGCAAGCCTGAACAATTTTTCAAAAAAAAACTGAGACTTGAGTGTTTGTTTTTGTGGTAATTTCATATGAGGTACTTCAGGAGTAAAAACGAGGGGTTTATGGACGACCTGAAATTCCGTAACACCTGCTTCACTTTCGAAAGCACTGTGGCTCTTCTGTACGGAGTGAGAAATGGAACAGTAACTCAGGACTCAATTAACGACCACAAGTTCCACAATTACGCTAACAGTTTCGTCAAGCTATTCGGTCGGTCTAAATTCTGTCTGCTATTTGCCCTTATTTTTATATCCTTGCCTCCTGTTTAGAAAAAGGACATGTTGATTTAGATTTTTTTATACACACTGACTGGGAAAAAAGCAAAAGCGAACAACATAATCAATAAGTTCTAGAAAAACAATCATATTTACCCAAAATATAAGCACGAACCTCGATTTCAGTTTGGGTTTAGGTACGAACCAACCAATCGCCATATTAGTATTGCCACAAAACCGTAGCTAAACTAAAAGGTTAAAACTGCAATTTGTTCCTACTAGCGTTGAGAAAACAAAAAATAATAGAACTTAGGGGTCACACAAAAATTGTTTTGGCCTATAATGATATCTGGCGACTTATATAACAAAATTTTGACCATTTTTTTGCTAACTTGTCGTTTTTGATCATTGTAGAGACGTTCCAGCCACTCAGCTTCTGCCCTGTACACCTGATGAAGAGTGTTGGGAGGTTGTTCTGGTATAACGAGGCGAAGAGACTCTACGACAACACATTAGTGCAGTCGCGACAGTTCGCCGAGAGCGCCATGCAAGCCTCGGCCGACTCGAAATGTGTCTGGGCGAAAGTACTTAAAAGTGGTGAGCTATTCTGAAAATTAGAATCAATTTTTTCTTAAAAAGCCGTTGATAATTAAACTAAATCTTACAAAAAAAATTGGGGTTCTCAGAAAAAGTACAACACAATGTCAAAAACAATCAAGATTTTTCTTCCAGATTGCTATATTCAGTCCCACCACCGGGAGAGCTCAGAAATTTGGGAGAGCTCAGAAAGGCAATTTGGTCGACCTAAAAAAAGGTCCTCCCTCCAAAAAAATTTAGGTCAACAAATAATCCAAACGAGATCCAAAATGAAATATTTTTTAATGAAAAAAACATTACAAGTGGGAATATCAAACCCTCTCGAAAAGTCTAATTAACTTGTGTCTAAGCTGGAATACTCATGCAATCACAATGCAATAAATTAATGTCAGAGCTCAGCAATTTCCGTTCGAATTGAGTAAACAATCACATCTTTCCATTATGTCAGGGCAAAACAATGCCAATCAAAGCCTCCCACAGCAAAAGATCCCAAGCCAAAAGATCCCTTGTAGCAACATCGCTCATGCCTTAATACCCCATGCTAATTAAAAAGACCCCACATATCTTACCGGCTGAATCTTAAGAATGGGATATTTTTTCATGTAATGTTATTTTGGATTGAACTTGAGGTGAACATTTCACGGGTCTATTTAGCTACTGACGCAGACGAGGAGAAGCTGAAGTGCAATCTCTCTGCAGTCCTCAGTGGGGGACTGGACACAACTGCCACCCAGTTGCTCTGGACCATGCAAGCACTGGCCGAGTTTCCGGAGGAGCAGGAGAAATTGAGTCGCCAGATAAGAGACAATCTCGGATCCGAGCCAATAGACCACGACAATGTGCACCGGGTCGGCCTAGGTACGCTTCACTAAAAGCAGAAAAAAACATACATTCGGCTTTTGTTTAACTAAAAGTAGAAAAAAACATATATTCGGCTTTTGTTTAACTAAAAGTAGAAAAAAAACATGGTCGGTTTTTGTTTAACTAAAAGTAGAAAAAAAACATATATTCGGCTTTTGTTTAACTAAAAGTAGAAAAAAAACATGGTCGGTTTTTGTTTAACTAAAAGTAGAAAAAAAACATATATTCGGCTTTTGTTTAACTAAAAGTAGAAAAAAAACATGGTCGGTTTTTGTTTAACTAAAAGTAGAAAAAAAACATGATCGGCTTTTGTTTAACTAAAAGTAGAAAAAAACATATGGTCGGCTTTTGTTTAAAATGATGGATTATCTCGAACACAGGAGTGTGCTTCGGGAAAAATACAAAAAGTATACAGAAAAAATGAAAGTTTTTAAAAATCAAGTTTTATGTTGCATTTGTTCAAGTGCTCTAATGTTTGTATGGAAACATGAACAACAAGCAAATTTCGCGTTCAAAGTTTACATGAACCTATTTGTACGGCGATCATTTTTTTGAAAAATTGTTTTGCAGTTGAGCGAATTGTTTAATTCAGTCAATCCTATGATTGTTTTTTCCTCGTGAAAACTTTCACATTTTAAAGATCTTTAAACGGTTTGACTTATTATTTTGCCTGGTTAGCTAAGCTCCGATTTCTGCTAGCAGCTATTTCTGCTAACTGCTGTTTCTGCTAACTGCTATTCCTGCTAGCAACTGTTTCTGCTAACTGCTATTTCTGTTAAAATCTCTGTTGAGACAGTTCTGGACGGAATGAAAAAAGACAGTAATATTTTTAGAAAATTTCTAGACAAAATATTCACTCAAGTAACCACATGAAGATTTCAAGAGAGCCAACACGTTACTTTCTAAGCGAATCTTCAACAGCAGTTGGTATTTGAACAGACGACCAGTAAAAGAAGATTTAGCGAGATGGCCCGGTGGGTTTGTTCCCCCCCCCCCCCCCTCAGGGAAACAACCCCCTCAATGACACCTTCATTTTGGTCAACCAAACCTAAAATTTTTGATAAAGCGCTTAAAGCGTGAATGTACACCAAAATGAAGGGAGGAGCGCGCACTAGAAAAATCGCTATTTTTTCCAAAAATGGCCCTAAACATTATTTCGGGGCTCTTTCTGGGGCTTCTCAGAATAAAACTTTGTCGACCTAAAAATATATTTTTTGAAAACTCGACTCCAGTTTTCTTGAAAAATCTTAATAATTGGTTTGTTTTTAGCCCGAGCAGTAATCAAAGAGGCTCAGCGACTGTACCCACTAGTGGGCTTCTTTCCTCGCCAGCCATACACAGATGTGAACTACTCTGACTCGGAGACAGGCCACTCGGCCACAATCCCCGCCGGATCCCTCATCTTAATCGACAACTTCAACTACAGCCGAGACGAGAAATACTTCCCCGAGCCGCTAGTTTTCAGGTACTGATCAGGATATAGCAGGGATATTATTGAACAAGCCCCTCCTCTTCGCGTCTTTTCCCATGAAGGGATCAATCACTAGGCTGATTTTTCATTTCTTGTATCCTGAGCACTAAAATTTTTCAAATTCACTTTTTTACACTCAGTGTGTATATGAAAAATTTTTGGTTTAAGTTTGAAAAGAAGCTTCGAAGTGAAATGATTTCAGACCTGAGCGGTGGATGAGAGAGGACGACAGCGAACACTTCAACAAAGACCGCATGTTCCTCGCGTTCGGATCCGGACCACGCTCGTGTATCGGGAGGCGAATCTCCGAACTAGAAATGCGAATTTTCATCATTGAACTCATTCGGAACTTCAGGCTGGATTTAGAAGGGGATGCCGCATCCCCGATCTACAGTGGCATTGTGATTCCAGACAAAACGCCCAAAATCAGATTCACGCCTCGAAATTAAGCTAACAAAACTGAAATGTGCAATCAGTAATACCAAATCGCAATTCTAAATTACCAAACCGCAATTAAACGTGAACTTCGACGTTGAAATGTATTTTATCCTTATGTGCTTCTATGTTAATTCCATGCTGAAATTTTGTAGTGCAAATTTCCTGCAATTGTAAAAATTGAAAGTTTCAGTGCATTGTAAACTGATCTCGTTCTGTTCTTGAATCAAAAAGATAAAATCATCTCCAGTTTTTTTCATCTCGCCCTAAACGCTTCACTAAGAAAACTCGTTTTTTAGCACTCAAAGTTTTTCGTTCAGGATAAATTTGGCTCTTTGGTGACAAAACTAAAGTGAATTTTTCAAATTTCTACAAAATTTCTACAAAGTTCAAATTTCTATAAAATTTTTGGCTTTCATTGTTCAGTAGAGCGAGAAAAAACGGCTATTTTCAGTCACCTCTTGCATGGCTAAAACATGCTATTGAGTCTAGTATGTGGGGAATCCTCTTACTTTCAGAGGCGGATTTATAAAGGTTTGTTATGCAGGTTTTGAAAACAGCCTGACCGGTAAAAAAATTGATCCAAATATTGCGTTACTATTAGCGAAAATTATCAATTTGAGTTTGGCGTTAGTTTTGAGCAAAAAGATCAGAGACCAGGCGGTGCAAAAGTAAATGCCAGCCCGCACTGACAGAAATGGTTTCCTGTTGATTTAAATTGATTTTAAATCGATTTTAAATCGATCGAAATCGATTAACCATGTACATTTTACGAACTTAAATGGATACTAAATCTATTTAAATCGACCTTTTTGAAAATTTTAAATCGATTTAATTGTCTGAAAAATCGATTTAAATTGATTTCGATGGATTTTCGGACACATTAAAAATCGATTTTTTTTTGCTATCAAAGCAAACCCCGCACTGACAAAAATGGATTAGGATCGATTTTAGTATGAAAAAAGTACGTTGATTAAATTTAGATCGATTTTAGTATGAAAAAAGTACGTTGATTAATTTTAGATCGATTTTAGTTTGGAAAAAATGTGAAGATAAAACAAAAAAGATGAAAATTGATTTGGATCGATTTAAAATTGATTTAAATTGATCTTAAATCACAGCTAAAAAAATGATCCGAATCGATTTTAAATCAATTTAAATGCATTTTTTCCAGTCTGTTTTTGTTTATGATTTTAAGGGGATTAAAACGGATTTAAATCGGTTTAAATCGATTGTTTTTATTTGAGATTTATCAGTTTCGAAATTTGAATGCATTTATTCATTGCCTATCATTTTTCATTTTACATCCATAGCGTATTGTAGCATAAAAAAGACCGAAAAAAACCAAAATATCGATAAAATTCTTTGATTTTCTTGCATATTTTGAGTTCAAAAACTGATATATATTGACCCTTTTCTTGATTCGTTTTATAAGTTTTGCCCAAAATCTGATACATTATCATATCTTTCTATGATATAATTGCATACAAACGAGATCAAATTTTAATTTATTCTGACCTTTTTCTGGTTTGTTACATAGGACTTTGCAAAATCTGTCTTACAACAATTTTCTATAATTTCATTGCCTTTTTTCGTGCTTGAACTGATTTATGTGGATAATTTTATTGAATTCTATAACATCTGGCACGAGTGTTAACATTAAAAATCGAGAATAAAAATTTCTAACAATTTTTCATAGGGTATGTTTTTTTCGCCTTGTTAGCAAAAAAAATCTATTTTAGTGTGTCGGAAAATCCATCGAAATCGATTTAAATCGATTTTTTAGACACTTAAATCGATTTAAAATTTTCAAAAAGATCGATTTAAATCGATTTAAAATGGATTTAAGTGAGACTCTGATGGATTTAAGTGAGATTCGGATGGATTTGAGTGAATCGGAAAATCCATCGAAATCGATTTGAATCGATTTTTTAGACACCTAAATGGATTTAAAATTTTCAAAAAAATCGACTTAAATCGATTTAAAATCCATTTAAGCTCGTAAAATGTACATGGTTAATCGATTTGGATCGATTTAAAATCGATTTAAAATCAATTTAAATTGACCGGCAACCATTTCTGTTAGTGCAGTAAAACATGCTTTTTAGAAAAGTAATTGAAATATTTTTTTCTTGATTTTTTAAATGAAAACACACGTGTCAGATGTTTTAGAATTCAAGAAAAAAATAGAAAATGTTAATATGAACCAGATTTTGAGCTCAAAAAAATGCAACAAAAATCTAGATAATCATCATTACATATCAGATTTCTTGCATTAATATATGTAAAAAATCAAGAAAATTGTAAATCGGATCTTGGACAAAATTTTGTGTAACAAACCAGAAAAGGGTCAGGTAAAATTAAATTGAGATCTCAAAAATTATCAATTATAATTTTAGAAAATTATGAAATTAAATCAGAGTTTAAGCAAAAACTTTTGAAACGAATTAAGAAAAAGGTCAATATAGATCAGTTTTTGAACTCAAAATATGTTAAAAAATCCTAGAGTTTTATCGATATTTTGGTCTTTTCATTTGGTTTTTTTTATGATACAATACGCTAAGGATGTTAAATGAAAAATGATAGTCAAGAAATAAATGCAATAAAAATTTGAAACTAATAAACCTCGAATGAAAAAATTGATTTAAATTGATTTAAATCCGTTTTAATCCCCCTAAAAATACTAACAAATTCAGAGTGGAAAAAATGCAATCAATCTTCATCTTTATTATTTAATCTTTGTACTTTTTTCATACTAAAGTCGATCTAAATTTAATCAACGTACTTTTCTCATACTAAAATCGATCTAAATTTAACCAACGTACTTTTTTCATACTAAAATCGATTTTCTATTGAGACAAGCAACGTAGACCCACACTGAGAATATGTTTTTGGGTTATGAATGTTGATAGACGACCAGCACGAACTCAATGTCACATCCCGGTGGCAAATGGACCCCAGTGGTGAGTACTTCATCCAGTATGGCCTGAATTGTAGTCAGTGGTTTGTTCAGGGTGAAACCACTCACCACTCACTCAAAAATTAAACCCGAAAAAAAAGTTTTGAGCCGGAACAAATTTTTCCTAAAAAAACAAAAAGATCATCATGACTTATATAAGGGTCCGAACTACATCCTTGATGACGAAAATTTTTTTGAAGAAGCCTTTTAAAGAGCTCAAAAAAATTCTGCTGTTAAAATTTTTAAAAAATCTGTAGGAGAGAATTTGTTTTGTGAGCTAGCCAAAAAACGTCATTTTAGAATTGTGAAACACAAAATTTTTCTTAAAAACCACAATCAAATAATTAGGCAACTTTTGGAAGTTTTTCTTTTTTAGAGCGTTGTTGATCTAATTATAAAATTAATTTACTTGATAGTTCGACCGTAATTTTCATTAGCTTCGAAAAGACAGAATGACCCATTTTGGGGTAAATTTGGGTTCGAGTTTAGCAGAACAAGTTTCACCATAATAACTTTTGTTAAGTTCAAAGCAACTAGTGTTCTCTTCAATTTTTGTCTAAATCACATCAACTTTGGAAAAACGAATTTGAAGTGTCAATCTTGGTCTGGATTAAATCATTACTGTACGTTTGTCGACTCTTAAAACTGATCGATCCAATATCTGAAGACAAAGCAGTCGGGCTGATGCGTGTTTCGAACTTGCCAGAGCCGAGGTTATATTTATTCAAACTCAGCTTTTTTCCGTTTCTCACAATAGCGAATATGATCTTTTAGAAGCAGTTTTTATTCACGCAATTTAAGCCGAACTTTTTCTTTGCCGGTTTTCGAAAATGTACTAGTCCCTGGTTGGAAAGCAAAAAAAAATCTCAAATCAGAAAAAAAACCAAAGAACTCAAATTTCACCGCTAGTTCAAAAGTGGAACACTAAACGTCTACACTAGGCTTAAAAGTGTCACAGTTGGTTTTTCGAAGACTTAATGACGGGCACAGGCTAACAAATATCTTAGAGCGATTTTCTTGATTGAGAAACTCTAAGGTTCTTAATTGAAATGAGTCAAAATTAGGTAAATTATCAGTTATCTGGTTAAAGCTCTACCGTTTTCATTTTGTCCTTTAGGTTCCTATCAGTTCCTATACAAAAAGAATCCGATGAATGTAATCCATGACTTTTGAAAATTCTCTTAAGTTATATGTTTTATTTACAAAAACAATTTTCAAAATTGCGAGTTATTTACGATCTAAATGATATTTACAGAAGTGTATTATACAAAAAAAACTTTGTTTAAAGGAGATTGAGCTTCAAACTTTATTTCAAATTTTCTTTCAAAATTCGTTTTCAAACTCGTACTTTTTAATTCCAAGGTTTTCAAATCGAATGATGAAGCATGGAAGCTGCTGATCTAATAAGAGAGGGAGAGTTTTGATCATTGTGATATTTTCAGTCACGTGGAGGAAATGCATTTCGCTTTTTTTTCGTTCAGATGTTTTCATGACTTGTTTGAGCCTGTTGATTTTCTATTGAGAATATGTTATTGAGGAATGGAGGGAGATAGACGGTCAGTGCGAGCTCAATGTCACTGCCGGGTACCAAATGTCACTGACAGGTGCCGGGGGAAGCCACTCACCACTCACTCATAAGTCACGCCCCGAAAAAAAAATTGAGCCGAAACACTTTTTTCAACAAAAAAAAAACAAAAAGATCATCAAGATCTGTATAAGAGTCTGAGCTACGTCCTTGATGAAATAATTTTTACCTGAGAAGCCTTTTTTTTTACAGCTGAACGAAATTCGGAGGTGAAAGTTTCCAAAAAACAGTAAGGGAGAATTGATTTTTGCGAGATAGCCAAAAAATTCATTTTTGAAGTGTGAAACACAAAATTTTTGCTTAGAAACCAAAATCACAAATTTGCGCAAGTTTTTGGAAGTTTTTTTTCAAGCGTTGGTGATCTAATTTTTTTTATCAATTTACTAGATATTTCAGCGTAATTATCGATAGCCTTAAAAAGACAGAATAAGCCATTTTTGGGGTAAACTTGGGTACGAATTTTGCAAAACAAATTTCCCCATAAAAACTTTTGTTAAGTTCAAAGCAACTTCTGTTCTCTTCACTTTTTGTCTAACTCACATCAATTTTGGAAAAACGAGTTTGAAGTGTCAATCTTGGTCTGGATTAAATCATCACTGTACGTTTGTCGACTCTTAAACTGATCGATCCAAAATCTGTAGACAAGGCAGTCGGGCCGATGCGTGTTTCGAATTTGCCAGAGCCGAGCTTATTTT